CATAAACCTGCTAGTAGAGCTTCATATTTCGCCTCTTTGTTCGAGCACTTGAACTTGATACGTAGGGCGTAGGTCGACTTATCTCCATATGGGCTGGTGAGAACGATGCATGCTCCTGAGCCGTCTTTGCTTGATGCCTCGTCTACGTATAATACCCACATTTCTTTGGTTACATTGGTCGACGTTTCTGGATGTTCACCGATGTCTTTAGGAGTAGTCACCATCGATGATTGTGAGTCCTCTGCGTTTTTGTCAAGAAATCAGCTAGAGCTTTCCCTTTTATGTTGATTCGAGGTTTATATGTGATGTCGTGTTCCTCTAGCTCTATCGCCCATTTCGTCATTCTTCCTGAGCGTTCTGGATGTAGTAGAATTTGCTTCATCGGTTGGTCTGTTAATACTTCGATGGGGTGTGTCTGGAAATATCTACGTAATCGTCTGGAAACATATACTAAGGACAAGACCAATTTTCCACCTTAGAGTAGTTTCGTTCCGCCCCCTACAATATTCTGCTAACGAAATATACCGGAACTTGCTTCGTTCCTCTTTTTGCAACCAACGCCACGTTGATTGCTTTATGGCTTGCTGACAACTACACGGTTAGCGCTTCCTCCTTTAAGGGACTTGCCAAGGTCGGCAGTTGTCTGGCATTGTTTCAATTTCCAGAGCGCCTCTTCTGCCTCATCTGACCATAATATTTCCTTCTTCCTTGTGAATGTTTTTAGCGTCTGGAAGAAAGGTATCGTCTGGTCTGCCGACTTTGCTAAGAATCGTCCTAATGCTGCTAACTTGCCGTTAAGACTTTGTACTTCCTTCACTGTTCGTGGTGTCGCTGTTTTCAATAAGCTTTCAGTATTTTCATGGTTTGCTTCTATCCCTGTTTCTGTTATGATGTGGCCCAAGAACTTACCTCTTTGTACCCCGAAAATTCATTTCTTTGGGTTAAGCTTCATGTTGGTTTGTCGTAACCTCCTGAAAGTCTCTTCCACATCCGCCAGAAAATTATCATCATTCTTGCTCTTGATTACCATATCATCCACATACACCTCAACGTTTCTTCCCACTTGCTTCACAAATACTTTGTCTACCAACCTCTGGTAAGTTTCCCTTGCATTCCTTAATCCAAAAGGCATTTTTGCGTAACAGAAAGTCCCCTTCTCCATGTGAAAGGTTGTTTTGTCTTCATCAATTGTCGCCATCTTCACTTGATGATGCCCTTTGTATGCGTCCAAGAAAGATTTCCATCGATACCCCCTAAAGACTCGATCTTCTGCTCTATTTATGGAAGAGGGTAACTATCTTTTGGCAAGATTTGTTGAGATCGGTGAAATCAACGCACGTTCTTAATGTTCCGTCTGCTTTTTTTACTTATACCGGATTGACGATCCATTTTGGGAATTGTGTAGCTCTCATGACTTTGGCTCTTACTAAGGCTTCGACTTCCTTGTTGACGACTTCATTTCTTTCTTTGGCCACGATACGCTTCTTTTGCTTTACTGGAGTACACGAAAGATCGATATTCAAATGATGCTCTATGATTGACCTTAGGATGCCCGTCATATCCTCAGGCGTCCACGCGAACGTATCTTGATACTTTCTTAGTATCGTTGTTAATCCTTCTCGCAATGCTCTAGGAAGCTCGATCACTAATTTGATTGTCTGATCCTTGTGATTTTTATTGACAATTACCTCCTCAGTATCTACATAAGAAATTCCTTCTTCTTCCATGGACTCGGCTTGATCTGGTTGTACGACATGGCTGCGTTCAGGAGGCCCTGTGTAATGTTTTGAACTATCGCCACCCCTTCTTCAGTAGGGAATTTGAGTAGGCCATGTACTGTAGATGAGACGGATTGCAGCTTCCACAAGTCGGTTCTTCCCAAAAGTATGATGTAGGGGGAAGGTGCTTGTACTACTATGAATTCCGTCGGTATGGTTTTACGGATGTTACCTCGATAATCTTCCAATGTGAAGGGAAAAAAGATCTTCCCCCTCGGGCATACAGATTGGCCTACGAATCTGACCACTGCTGTCGTGGCGGGCTTGAGGTATCTTTGAACGTTTGTGGGCAATCCCTTTAGGCAATGTTCATACATTACATTAATGGCACTTCCGTTATCCACATAGACCCTTCTAATCAACGTTTTTCCTATTGACGCTTTTAATATCAGAGGTTCCATCCCTTTATGATCAAAAGGTATTGGATCGTGGTGATCGAACTCGATGCTAGTCACCTTCCGCTTTCGTGTTAACCTGTCCCCCGAATCTTCCTCACCTTGCACCATGGAAATTTCAGCATCGTACCTTGGTGCATCTTCTTTCTTCGTTGTTCATTCATCAACTCTTAGCGACTGCTTCTTTTCTTTTTCTCTTTTTAAAATTTCGCAATCCTTCGTCGCATGACCCAGTTTTTTGTGAAAGTCATGGTATTTGTTCGGGTCTCAAGGATATTTTCTGCTTTTATCTGCATTGTACCTGTTCGGGCTCCGTGGAGTGTAAGTTTCATAAGTTTCCTGTCAATATGGCTGATAGCGGCCATTCCCTCTTCCCCTCTCGCTTTGGTGTGGCCTTTTATCATAGATGCAGTGAGACATACTCTTCGGTTGAGGAGGGTATGATCTAGTTCGTTCTTCCTTTCTTCTTCCTCCCACTACGACCTTTCCTTCCATCCTCGCTTTTTCGGCACTTTCTGCCTCTTGCCTCGGGAACCGGTTAGCTTTTCGTATCATTTCTTCTACGTTGGTCCATTCTCGCCCTACCAACTTTCGAAATAATTCCCCCTCCAGGAGCCCATAAGTGAACGTTGCTATAATCATGGGTTCATCCCGAGTCGGCATCTTTCTACTAATCTCATTGAACCTTTTGAAATACGCCTTATTCGATTCTCCTTCGCGTTGCCGACAGGCAAATATCGCGCGTGCTTGTTGCTGGAACCTTCGTTGCTGTATGAAGCTATTACAAAATTTCTGGCAGAGCTCTTCAAAGCTTCCTATGCTTCGAGACGGTAGGCTGGCTAGCCAATATCGAGCATATCCATCTAATGTTCTCGCGAAATACAGGTTCCAAAATTTTGGATTTATGGGTATCATTTTTATTGCCCATTGGAAATTGGATACATGATCGTCCGGATCTCCGGTGCCATCATAAGGTGGCACCCTCGGCCCTTTTAATCCTCTGGGGATAGGCGTTTCATTAATGTCATCCGTGAAAGGAGAGCGAAAATTTAGGTTCTTGAAAGCTTGGTTGTATTGTTTTGCTTTTGTTACTTCATGCAACTTTTCTTGCTTATTATGGTTGTCTTCTGCACTGGGTAGCCGATCTGCATTTTTTCTCATTCTTGTTTGGTCTTTTTTTTGCGGGGGTCTGACTCCTTTCTTTCTTTGTTGGAGTCCTTCGTTCGATCTGTGTGGACCGAAACTCGGTCCCATTCTTTATCCTTCTGGAGTTGTTTTTCATTTTGCAATCTCCTCATAACCCTGAAGCTTTTGAATGCCTCAAATTCTTCCAACTTCATTTCTTCTATTGTCTTGACTTGCAAGTTTATTCCCTCGTTACTGACAAACCTTTCGACCACTTCACTATGATGTATCACCACAGTAGCAACCTGTGAGGTTGCTTCTGGGCCTTCTAGGTTTTGCATTCTCGCAACGGGACCCTCTCCAACTATTGTTTGTTGCGGAGTCCCACGGATGGTGCCACTTGATGCACCCTCAGGTCCGTCTTCCATCTGTCACATGAGTGCTGATTTTATCTAGGTTTGTAGATTGACCTGAAGATTGCAAACAAACCGTAAGCAGGGCGACCGGGAGGGGATCCCGGATGACTCTCCGACGTTTAAGTTAGTGATAGGGTCGGTGATTGGTAGTTACAAAGGAATAGTTAAGGTCGATTCTATCGGCTTACCTCCATGATGAATCGGGTCGGCTATTTATAATGACATTGGACGAAGTAGCCAGTTCTTCTCGTACCGATTCTGACATGCCATCTTATCGCATTTATGGCATGATGCCCGAAGGTACGCATATCTGTACTGTATATATATCGTTATACAGTTGTGTTGTGGCAGTTCCCAGATCCGCCAACTGTATATCCTCGTACAGGTTGTATTCCCAGAGTTTCATGGTACTTCTGTTATTGTTTCGACGCCATCTTGTACCTTCTTGTTGCCATTCCTGCTTGGTATGCAAGCAAGCAACTTCGAGCCAATCGAGTACGGTAACTTCAAGCATCTTTCCAATCATGTCGGTTTGGTATGTTTGGAAAAGATATAGGTGTTGTCGGGCTATATCCCATTATGAATCATTATAGGTTTTGGATCATAACAAATTAAGGATTATAAATATTTTGTATCATAAATATTATGATCATATTATTTTCAACCAAATCAATTTTGTTTCACAAAGGCTTTTGTTCATAACAATTTTTGGATCATAACATTTTTTAATCATATAAGTCGATAGTGCAACTTCATAGTTTTAAACATTTTAAAGTACAATATTATAATCAGCTCAAAGTTTAAACTTTGTTGTTATTAATGTATTGATATATTTTGCATCTTAAGTGTATTGCTATATTTATGTATATTTTGCAAAGTACTCCTTGTTTACAAATTTTAATGTTTGACCAATTTTTTATAAAAATTTAAAATGTGCTTATAATTTGTAAACATATATTTTTTAGACAACAAATTCTAAACATGAGCATGTTTGATCGTGATACACATTCTAAATGGGGAAAATGTTTTCATGGCGAGTTTAAAGCGTACCAGCTTTTATAACCACAACTTTTTTTAAATGTTACTACTTTATATAAAAGTTTTAGTTTTTATTTTATAAGTTGATAACGACAATATATAATTGATTTATTATTACATTTTATTATTTATACACGTATTATATATTCCAACGTTTCAAATACCTTCAAATTGATATAAATCCTTGTTCATTTTGGTCATCTTTTGCATCCCACATTGTGAATAAGAAATTAAGTGGAAACGAAATAAGGGCTGAAAGTACACATTCCAACTTACGTATGTAATAACTAATAAAATTAAAACACAATAGTTTTGAATTTTCTTGCTCAATGGAAATGAAAATTCTCCCAAAATTCAATTTTTCATAATATAAAAACAAAAACCATTTTCTAATTATTTTTCTAAACCGCTGCAAAATATTCCTTGCTTAGCTTCGGGTCCGGCTTCATCGACTTCTCCCCTGGCTTCCATCCCGCCGGGCATACCTCATCCGGGTTCTCTTGTACAAATTGCAATGCCTACAGTACAACACATACCCAATTTACCAGTAATCAATAATAGTCAACGGACGGTAATAACCAGGATCCATGGTTATTACCAATAGTGGCCGGTAATAACCAAAGCCATGGTTATTACCAATAACCTGTGGCCCAGGAGACATGGTTATTACCAATAGCCAGTAATAACCAGTAGCCAATAATAACCAGTGACCGGTTATTCAGTAATAACCAGTGGCCAGTATTAATTTGTTACCTGAAGTGTTCGCAAAGTTTCATCAACGCTACGACCAATTGCAAGATTGTTAATAGTCGAGTGTTGAATGACACCTTCTTTGTCAATAATGAAAAGTCCTCTCAATGCAATTCCCTAAAAAATCAAACAAAAAAAATCGGTGTAAAAATGGTTTTAAAGATTAACAAATAACAAATAAAAGAATATATCAATGTGTGTACCTGATCTTCAATCAACACATTAAAAGCTTTTGAAATCGATTTTGTCACATCAGAAACCAAAGGATAATTCAAATCACCAAGTCCACCAGATTTTCTATCTGTTTGAACCCATGCAAGATGAGAGAACTGAAAAAAAAAAAAAAATAGAATCATAAATCATAAATTCATAATGTAATAATACTTAAAATATTTGTATTAAAAAATAACAGGGTAAAGGAAAAATTAGAATTTACCACACTGTCTACTGAAACACCCAATATTTCAGTGTTTATCTTGTCAAATTCTGCATGTCTATCACTGAATGCAGTGATTTCTACATAATAAACACATAATTAGGAAAAAAATGGATCAAATTATGTTTAAAAAGTAATGCGAAAGTGAAAGTGAAAGTGAAACTCACCTGTTGGACAAACGAAAGTGAAATCAAGAGGGTAGAAAAAGAGAATGACGTATTTCTTGCCAATGTAGTCAGAGAGCTTAACCTGTAATTCATAAATTTCCTACAAAGTTATGAAATCTGGGATTTTATTTATATATATTATATAATCAATGAAATGAGTCGATTTAGTTACGTTGATGAATTCTTGATCAAAAACAGCTTCGGCTTCAAAATCTGGTGCAACATTTCCGACTAGTGGGAGTCCCTGTAAACACCAAAATACATTCCAGAATTTGAGAAAGGAAATCTGTTGATGAAATTTATTGTCTACAAAATTTGATTATATATCGTTCAGATCCAATACGCATACATCCACTTCCATAATTATCGAGCACATGATAAGAAAATTTAGTTATCGGTATAATGGTGTTATAGAACATAGTGTTAATACAATAAATTCATCTAAATAACATACATTAACATGAATCGACAATGCAACCAGGAACTATAACTGTTTATGTGAAAATACGCAAAATTACACAGCCTTGTAAATCCACAAATGAAAAAACATTCGTCTGGAATAGAATTCATGGAGATAATGAGCTACTTACAGCTTTGACGACGAATCCGTTCCGGCGGGAGGTGGAGGGGCGGAGGGAGAGGGAGGAGCGGAGGGATTTAGATTGGAAACTGAAGGATGCAGAGCTGGAGAATGAGAGGGTTTGAGAGAGCTTAGATTTGGGGGAAATGGAAGAGGAGTGCCTAGGGTTTGGAGAAGAAAGAAGAGCTGCCGAAGCAGATGAGGAAGCCATTGTTGGGTTTGGTGGTGTTGTGTGTTATCTGAGTGTGGATTGTTTGGGTTTGGTTTTAAGGTGGAGAGGTGATAGGCGATAAATGAAGATAGGGGTTTTGTGGGGGTTAGCTTGGTTGGTTAGTAGGGATATAGGTAAGGGGACTAAATTGTTTCGTTTCCTTGATTGAAGTTTTTAATTTCCATGAAGTATTAGGTTTTATTTTTAAATATTAAGTAATTTTTTTTTTGTTGTTAAGATTCCGATTACGAGAGGTTGGCTAAAAAGACACCTTATTTTAAGATTTTACAAGTCAAAAACGATCCCGACTATAATTTTATGATTTTAACACGATTTGATCTCACATCTTTAGTTTTATTATATAGTCGAACCTCAAAACGATTTATATTTAACTTAAAATCGAGCATTACAAGTTACAAAATCCTCATAAAACATTATTCTTCATCACTTCATCTCGAATTAGACACGTCACACTCATGATATCTCGTTTGTGATCTTAAGTCTTTAGTTGTAGATCATAATAATCTTGTTTCTTTTGATAATTAAGATGTTTTCTTCTTAATGTCTATGGTTTGCAACAACAAAAAACATTATTCATGTTTAAAAAGTTAAAATTAACTTCATATTGATCTCTTAATCGATATCAAGTTATAATGTATATTATACACCCAAGAGCTTGCGAGAAAATTTGAATACAAGTTCATTTTGGTAAGGATCTTCCGATCCCGATCCGACCTTACGATTACAATATTGCAAAACATAAAACGATTTTGGGTAAGATCCTGATCTTGACAACACTCCGATCATAATATAACGTGTATTTGAAATAAATAATTAAATGTTTTTGCTATTGGTAAATTAATCATTTAGTCCGGAATAGCATTCCATACAACGAAAAAATATGACAAAAAGTATATTTCAGACTGACATTGCGGAATTTCAGACCAACATTCTGAATTTCAAAAACAAGTCTGAAATCCAATGAATAATTCTGGAATTTCAAGAAGAAAATTCATTTTTTTACTTAAAAATCTAACAAAAGGCTAAACAAACATAGTAATGTCAACTATATATATATATATATATATATATATATATATATATATATATATATATGACAAAACTGCAAATTTAGTCCTTGTGGTTTACAAAAATCTTTGGATAGGGTCCAAAAAGTTTTTAACTTGCATGGCAGGTCCAAAATCAAAACATTTCTGTGATTTTAGTCCAAAAAAACTTGAAAAGACGATTATGCCCTTTTATTTTCTTTTTTGTATTTTATATATTTATCTAATACCTTTATTAATTAAAAAAAATAACATATCCCACCCTATCACTCTATCCGACCCTCCCCTCTCTCTTTCACTCCACCCGACCCTCCCCTTTCTCTTTCACTCTCACTCTCATCTTCTTCTTCTGCACCCTTCACCTGCTTTGAAGATTGCTTGATTAGCGATGAATCGTCCTCCACCACCAGAATCGTCGAAGCTTGGATCTGAAGTTGTTGATGCGTCATCGGTGGTGCTCAACGATTATCAGGAGATTGTAATACGACATCAGATGCACACCTGAAGAAACTGGAATCACTCCCAAACGAATCACCATCGATAAAATCAAAATAATCCCTCTCCACATATCTCTCAGCCAAAACACGATTCACAACTGAATGACTCGCACATCTCTCAACCATTGAAAGTTGAAAGCTTTCCAGTTCTTGAATTTAACAGTGAAGAAATCGGAAACATATGTTGGTCTTATGTTTTTCTTGGAGAAATGAATCGGGGTTCCTTTTTCAATATTTAGATCGAGAACCCTTTCAGAGAAATCAGATTCATTTGAGACACATTTATTCACTGATTCAATCTCATCGAAGCAAACATAAATCAACCAACAAACCCATAAATACTTTCGTTTGAGGCAGATTTAACTTTCTCTATGTTTTGATTTGGATGAAGTCTGAGAAGCATCAATTGATTTGAAGGTGTATTTGGCAAAGTACAGAGAGATAGAAGTGGAAAAGAAGACGTTAGGAAGACAAGGCGAGAAGGATGGGTGAATTATCGTGCAGATATGAAATTCTCACACACTGTCTGTATTTCTTTTCCCCTTTCATTCTTGATGATTTAGATATAGGGTAATCTAGGTAGAGACGGAGCTAGGTAAAGGTGGTGGTGGCGGACGCTGATGACAGTCGGTGGTGACAGTGGCGGACGACGGTGGCTGATTTTACCTTCCATGTTGAAGGTGTATTTGAATGTTTGTGTGTTTTGGAGAATAAAATCAGAAAATCTGATGTGTGTATTTGTTAATCAAGATGTTTGTTCTTTACTATGTATTTGTGTTCCTAAAGATGTTATTGGGTGTTAACAATGACAAACCCAGATATGTGTGTGTGTATGAGAGAGACAGAGAGAGAGAGAGAGAGAGAGAACGGTGGGTGGGGTGGGGGATAATTTTTTCATTTTTTCTTTGTTTTTTAATTGAAATAGTATTAAAGAAATTATAAAAAATATAAAAAAGAAAATAAAAGGGCATAATCGTCTTTTCAAATTATTTTGGACCAAAATCACGGAAATGTTTTGATTTTCGACCATCCATGCAAGTTGGAAACTTTTTGGACCTTATCCAAAGATTTTTGTAAACCACAAGGACTAAATTTGCAGTTTTGTCTATATATATATATATATATATATATATTAAATAAGAAGGAAATTTTGGTATAAAAGTAATAAATTTTTTATATACATATTTTTTTAACAAACAAAACGAATCATTAAATTATTCAAAAATAAGATAATTCACAAGAAACTTTTCTCAAAAAATATATGCATGATGCATTTTTAAGTAAATCAATAATAAATTCATATTTATGATAATTTTATCGAATATCAACAAAATCATTCTAAAAATGAATCATCAATATGTTTTTTCGGGATTTTTTTTTTGTGAATCATTTTATTTTTTATTCTTCTACCTTCCTACGAAAAAACATTTCTTAAAGGATCTATATCATATATATATATATATATATATATATATATGTAACGTCTGGTTCCTGATACGTATTTAATTGAATAATTATTCAATTTATAAGGGCAATTCGACGAGTTGGAAGCCTCAAACTCGTCGAGTAGAGATCAGATGGGCCGCGTGATTTAAGTAACCTACTCAACGAGTCTAGAGGCCTCAACTCGACGAGTAGGCTGGCAGAGGATAAACCCTAATTTTCGGTGTTTGCACCCTATTTAAACGTCGTAAACCTTTCATATTGGCCTCATTTCCAGCCTCCAAGTCCCAAACCCTAAATCTCGAAACCCTGATACTATTGTGAGTGTTTGTGAGTTATTTCAAGTGATTTAGTGTTGGGTTTTTTATTCAAAAATCCGGTTTTACAACCGGTAAAATTGACAACGGAAGCTTTAAAAAATGTTGAATAAAACTAAAACTATTTTACCCACCAAGGATCATTTTGCAAGAGTTAGAAAGACTAAAAACAACCATAGAAGGGGAAGCATAACAACCTTTGAAGACTTTGATCCTCATGGGAGGTTGGAAGTTGATGAAGTGTGGCATGAAACTCTAAAGCAAGAGTTCTCTACAAGTATCCACCAAGCAAGAGTAGAACCATCAAAACATGTTAGTATTCACTTGTAATTTGTTGTTCATAAGCCTTTGAAATATATACCAAATATATGTTCAAAGGTGAAGCAACAAAAGGGACATTCTTTTAACATCAAATGCAAGAGAATTGATGAGAAGAAGGATGCTTTAACTTCGAAATTTGGCAGCCTCTTGGGAGCACTTTTGCTCTCGGTTTTGCTAGCCAAGGAAGAGGAAGAATGAAGGCTTTCAAGCATGCCATCTAACCTTCCATGCCCTCCCTTATATAGAGGCCAAAAAACCAAAGGGAGACCGTAAAGTAAAAGAGGGACAACTTTGTCCCAAGCATGGCAAAAGAAGACCATGCTTGGTCTCCTTACAATTTTCGAAAAAGGCATGTCCAAAAGAAGTCAAAAGTTGTCTCATGGCTAGTTTTTATACACATACATGTTATATTTATAAAAATCCAGTATTTTTATAAAGAATTCCCAACATATATATATATATATATATATATATATATATATATATATATATATATAGTATGTATATATATATATATATATATATATACATATATAAAACTAGTCATATATAAATATCTTATTTTATATAAAACTATCTTTTATATAAATTGTAATTAGCTTATTAACATATAAATATGAATATATAAATATCTTATTTTATATAAAACTATCTTTTATATAAATTGAACTAGTTTATTAAGATATAAATATAACTTATAAATAATCATACTTTATGATATATTTCATAAGTTGTTATTTCTCCAATAAATATTATTCCATAATAAATTCTCAATTAGTAAAATATTATTTCCATGAAATAATAATTTTCCAATTAAATACAAGTGTTGATATATTTATTAATAATCAAATTATACTAATAAATAATCAATTGACGGTAACTTGCTATATGGTGTGACCCTATAGGATCATATATTATTAACAATATCACTCTATAATGACTCTTGGGCATACTAGATCTTTCAATCTCCCACTTGCACCTTGGACAAACTCTTGGACTAGTCATTTTAATATAAAGATACAAGGTATGCTTTTATATCAAAATAAAATAAAAATAAATAGAACATGTGTGTTTACTAAGAACTAGTGGGAGGATAGTGATATTCCTAATCTTGTATGAAAGAGACATACTTAATCATTTGAAATAATATTCCGACTATGCAATGTGGTTTTCACCTTGACTCGGAAAGTATTTCTAAAATGAAAGACTTAAGAATGACAAGATACATTATTTGAATGTAAAATCTATAAGAGATAGATAAAATGAATGTTAAAGGTTTTAAAATTCTTTTGCATGAAATGACAATATCTTGAAAGAGGTCAAGATACAAGATTCCCTTGGAAGATTCTTGACATTGTCACATGACGCCATTTTGAGTTTGTATCTTGACCTCTTGGACAAACTCAAAATGGGGTCATGTGACAATGTCAAGAATCTTCCAAGGGAATCTTGTATCTTGAC